GATGCGATATGTTGTGTTCGTATCCGGTAACTAATTGAATGACGTTATATGGTTGGGTCGCAACTGGCCTCAGGCAGATCAACATAGCTGTGTGTAATATTGCATGACCCTAAGTAATGATCAGGAGCTTGGTACGTATGACCAACGATCGAGCAATCATTTGTAAGCACTTAATGAATGCCTCTGCCAGGCCTTCTAGGTGTGAACATGGGGGTACTAGATGTTCAACTTTAACCCCAACTGACATGCAATAGTCATCAAAAGTTTTAGATGTGAATTCTCCAGCACTATCCAATCGAATAGATTTGATCAGACAATCAGGGTGGTGAGCCCTGAGCTTGATAATCTGAGCCAACATTTTGGAGAATGCAGCGTTCCTTATGGACAACAAGCACACGTGTGACCAACATGTGGAAGCGTCAACCAAAGTCATAAAATATCTAAATGGTTCGCATGGGGGGTGAATTAATCCACAAATGTCCCATTGAATCCATTGTAGAAAAATGGGAGGATTCGAACGAATCTTGTCATAAGAATGCTTAGTAATAAGCTTTCCTATATAACATGTTTGACATGCGATTCCTTGAATCAAACCTAAACTTCGCGTTAGTGGATGCTCGTGTGATGAGTTGAGGATACGGCGCATCGTTATTCATCCAGGATGTCCCAAATGATCATGCCAAAGTGTAATTTTGTGCACAATCCTAGAGGTAGGGCTGACCACATAGTGGCATTCTATGGGCGTATGGTCGTAGTATATAGACCACTCGGGATACGCTTCATCTTCTCTAGAATACGTTTTTTGCCATATTCGTAGGAAGTTATGCACATAAATTCAACTCCATTTTCTACATGGGTTTTAGTGTGGTAATTGTTATCTCTAATGTCCTTAAAGCTCAACAACGTTATTCAGGAACGTGGAGAACAAAGAACCTCATCAATAGTCAAGATTGTACCATTGGACAGCATTATACGTGTCTTACTGTATCCTTCGATCAGGTTGGATGGGCCTGAGAGGGTTGTCAGATGTGCATTTTTGGGTACGAAGTTAGTGAAATAGATACGTTCAAGCAAAACGGTGTGCGTGGTTACACTATCTGCTAGACAACTAACTTCCCCACTAGTCATACCTAGAATAAAAAATTAATTTGAATCGGTCACAAGCATAAAAGTTCTAAAAACAAATATCCATTCAAAATAATTTCAAGTATTCAAGGATGGAAATTAATTAAAAACTTAATATCCAAAAAACAAATCACCAACAAATAATCTAAACATAAAGGAAAATTGTTCAAAATTTAACCAAAAAACAAGGGGGGTTCGACCACTATTGTGGAATTCAGCCCCATGGTTTTATTTCAACTAAAAAATAAGTCTATGTCTAAGCCAAAGCAACCCATAGTGCTCGTCGATCCTCCTCAACAAGATATTCAGTTTGCAAGGCGTCGTGGATATGTCTTCGGATGAAGATCATAGCGGTGGCTTTCTTAGCTTCGCTAACAGGGTTGTCCGTCTCATCTTCAATGGCGGGACGCAAATTCTTTGCAATGAGGTGAAGCTTCACATCTTGGACCCACTTGAGGTACTTCCTTCTAGAGACCTCCAAAGTGGTGAAGTCAAGTTTGTACAAATTCAACATGTTCCTATCGCAAAATAAAGGACAAGATGTGATTAGTGCAATGGAGAAAAATAATCAATCCATTCACATAGGAGTAGAACATTCATGTTCTAATAGACATGTATTGGTTAATATTCTCATGAAAAAAACTTTGGGTTTTCTTGGGTGATGTATTTAATGAAAACTTCAGGTTTTCAACCAAGGCATGTTTATAGAAACTTCAGGTTTCAAAATAATTATGGACTTCAAGTTCATACGTTCCTGCAGACAAACGTAAATATATACATAGAAATATGTAAGAAAATATGCAAATAGAACTTCATGTCTATAATTATAATTAAATTAATTATTTGGACTTCGGGCCAAATTTAAAGTGTGGGTGAAAAAATATAAAACTCATTGGTCCTAAAAATAATTAGGCAATTAAACTCGGGTCCAAAAACTTGGACTAAAGCCCACGGGTGGGATGAGTAATTTTGGTCCGTGTGGCCCAGGCCCAAAAATTAGGCTAGGGTGTTTCGAGTGGGTTGTAGGCTCATGGGGAGAGGGGAACAAAATGGGCCGTAGCAGGCGGGCCTAATTTTTTTTATTTTCACATGGGCCGCCTCAGGCGAGCCCAAAAAAAAAAAAAAAAAATCTTTTTCTTCTTTTTTTTTTCTTTGTTTGCGGGCCAAAGGAAACAATTGGGCCGAGGGAGCTCTAAATCCCAACGGGCTAGAGCAGAGTGCCGTCAGTGGGTCAAGCCCAACGGCTTAGGGTCAGGCCAGGAGCTGATGTCTTTGGCTGCGGCTCGACGCGACTCAGCCCGCAGGTTGCATGCCTGGGCAAGGTTAGGGTTCCGAAGAACCTTAGCCGCAACGATTTGTTTCCCTTTTTGTTATATTTTTTTTCTTTCATTTCAATTCATGTACAATTCAATTCAAAGCATATTCAATTCAATAGTTTTTAATATATGTACATATATTTGATGCAATTCATGGCAAATATCAAATTCACATAATTCAACAATTATGAATATAATGCATACACAATTGTTTGTAGAATCTAAAATTCGAAAAACGTAAAGTTGGATCATGCATTATGGTGAATGGTCATGCTATCAGGGCTACAAAAATATCGAGATAAAAACCGTTGTTTTGAAAGAACCTAATTGTGTGATGATATGGATGAGCTGGTTTGATGCAGAAAAATCTTCAACGTCAGATTCCTAAGTGCAGCGGTAGGAGAGTGTTGTAGCCTATTTTATCTAACAAGGAAGAGAGGGCCGGTGGCAAGGGTAGAGAGAGAGAGAGAGAGAGAGAGAGAGAGAGAGAGGAGAGATGTGTTTGTAGAATCGTATGGCAATTGTGTATTGAGGATGTGTTATCCCCCTTACGTAGTGCCTTTATTTATAATAGTAAAATGAGAGAATAAATCCTTCATCCCCAAGGAATACAAGTCCACATAGGAAAGAATAACTAGAATCAAATCTAATCTAGAATTTACACAATCAACACTTAAACTAGGAAAGTTGACAACATGTTTATGTTTGTTTGGTGTATTTGCCCCTTTGGTCTTCGGTTTTTGGATTTGGTTTCTACAAGTTTCCAACTTGAAATTGAAATAGAAATTGAAGCAGAACACATATTTCCTCACCACTTTAAATTAAATGGATTTATGTGGCTGATATTAGTTTATCGTTTATTTGTTTATCTGATTTTGTTGAATATTCAATCATGTTGTGAATTGACATATTAATTTTTTTTATTCGAGAATTCTTAATTTATCTCATTAGTAATGAATATTTTGAATGGAAGTGTTTAGTTAAAAAAGAGACAAGCATAAGCACAAAAAACCTTATTGACTGGTGCGAACCTTACTAATCAACCATTCAAAATTGGTCACGCATATTTTGTTCTGTTTCACTAATGATTCTTGATATATTAAAGTTAAAATCTCCCAACTTTTTTACGTTGTCTCAAATTGGTCTCAAACATTTTAAACATTTAAAACAAGTGCCTAACCTATTGAAAATGTCATATCCGTTAAGCTCAAATTAAATTCCTGTTAGTTAAAAGGTCATGGAAGCATGGCTTTCACCAACTAATGGTCACCACTACCACCCTAATCAAGCTATCACCTCCAAACCCAACTCACAACACTAACTCCACCTACATCTCAAGCCGCCAACACCGAGAATAAGGTCATGGAGGTTGTTGAAATAGTGTGGACTACCATGATCCGGCCACCACCATATCCAATGCACACAAAGAAGAATTGAAAGTTTTACGAGCCGATAATCGGCAAATGACGGTCTTCGAGCAGCTTTCTGTCTTAGATGTAGTTGATGAACTTGTTCATCCAGTTTTTCCCTTGTGTTGTTTGTGGCGACTATGTCTGGTTCGGGCTCGTGAATGTTTGGGGCAACGAGGTACTTGAACAAGATTGTTCGTTGAAGCACATAGTCGACTGTAGATGAAATGTTTGCTATTGTGTTAACGTGACAGTTCTTATTCCTAGGGATTTGATGGATCTCTTACTTGTCAAATCATTCAAGGAGTGCCTTAGCCTTAGATAGGTAGAGTCCCACCATATGATGATGAGCTGCATAGTCTCCCTTGACTTGGTTAACTATCAGCATTGAGTCAGAGTCATAATGGACTGATAGTTGATAGGAGCGTATTTATGCGACTTTGTTATCTTATTTCTTTGCATTTACTTAGTTAATTTCCATTTATTATAGTAATTTAAGTTATTTTAGTATTATTGTAGGTCCAGTTGGTAAAAATGATAATAAATAGTCAAATGGAGTAACTTGGATTAGTTTTGGACTTGGATTGGATAGCATGTGTGGATAGCATATGGGCTAGATGTTTTTGGTGTTTTAAAGGTGTTAAACATGTGCTAAAATCTGGAGAAATTAAAGTTGAGGCTTGAAAGGCAAGAAATTACACAAGAAAGAGGAATCCTAGTTGGAGAGAAGTTTAGTGGCATGTTTTTGAGCTCAAATAAAGTTGTTACTTGTTTTGAAGTCCAAATAAAGAATCCAAGCTCCCACCGCAATCGCAGTTCCTCCGACCTCCACCATGTCATCACCTCCACCTTCCCTTACCTCACCTTCCACCTAGCTCTACCACTTCGACTCCAACCTCGTCCGCACAAATGTGGATCTCATATTTGCCATGTTATCACTTAACGGTTTACTTAACAAATTTTCTAACGGATGTATGAAATTGAAATAAAATGAAAGTAAATGTATAAAATTGAAATGTTTTAAAGATGTTGTAAGAAATTGAAATTGAAATTGACTTCAAACCTGAGGGGTAAAATATAATTTACCCAACTTACTAACTCAGGGGAAAAATGATCCCTTTAAAAGGGGGCAATATTTGAAACTTCCCAAAGTACTCTTTCCAGAGGGCCAGATACCCAAATTCGATCATCCAATCGCCAACGTCCCCCGAAAACAGAGTCCAGCCTCCAGAAACCTCCTCATCTCATTTACATTTATCTGTGCACTCTAGTGCAGATTCGGAAGGACACTTCACTAAGGTTCGATCATGGTACCCTCCAAATTATACCAACCACAAACCCTAATTCCAAATTCCTAATTTCCAATTTCCCAATCTCTCTCTCACTAACAGTGCAAGAACCATGTCTCACTTCGGTAGGTCTGGCCCTCCGGACATCACCGACACCTACTCTCTCCACGTCCTCAACATCACCTTCCGTAAGCGCTCTCTCTCTCTTTCTCTGTTTTTAATTTGTTTTTGGCTGGTTTGAAGGTGGTAGTTTGTAGATTGATTGCAATTGTTATGAACAGGTACGAGCGCTGATGATCTGTTTCCGCTTTTCGATAAGTATGGCAAGGTTGTTGACATCTTCATCCCCAGAGACCGGAGGTTTGTCTCGATAAAGATGCTCTTTTTTTTTTTATCTTTTTTAATGCTTATTGGTCTGTTTCGTTCCTGAGAAATTGAATATCTTTGATTTGTTTGAAAACAATGTCTATGTACTTAGAAAAATCATGTGAGAAAATCGGTATTACGACAAGTTATGAATGTTTTGTTTGTGGTTGTACCTAAACATTCAAATTATTGTTATTTGTGCAATCTCTTATTTAATCATTATTTTTCTTATTTTTATGAATGCTGAGAAGATATGGGAATTCGACGCTTATGATCACCTGTTTACGGTGTTTGGGGGAGCAATAGATTCTCTTGAAGCGGAGTACTAGTTAACTGTAGGAACTGCACATTTGAATTTATGTCCTTCCCTCCTTAATTTTTTTTTTTTTTTTTGTTTGTTTATGGTTAACAAATATTGTTTTGTTTTCGATGACTGAATTTTGGACGTTTATTTCCCTCCTCTGGTTTAGGACTGGGGAGTCAAGGGGGTTTGCTTTTGTTCGATACAAATACGCAGATGAGGCTCAGAAAGCAGTTGAAAGGCTTGATGGTATTTAAATTTTCTGATTTTATAATTACTATTACTGTTAATAATTGTGTTTCTGCTACCTTTTTTTAATTGTCACTGCTTATTAAGTGTCTTGACAATTCTAAATACTTATGCAGGGAGAGTTGTTGATGGCCGGGAGATAACTGTTCAGTTTGCTAAGTATGGGCCAAATGCAGAGAGGATGTAAGTTTTTCAGTTTTTAATGTTTCTTATAGTGAATTCTTTAGGCTGAAGTTTATTTTTGGTACTTTTTGTTCCTCGAGGGAATTATGAACTTGTAGTAGGTCTTCCCATATGCTTGTAATACTATCTCTTAAAAAAAATTCTTAACTACTGCATATGTGGCTCTTAAATTGCAGTAAATCCTTATTCAGGTTTATTCATCGACTGTTTTGTTAAATTGGTGTATTCGTAATGTATTGTTACTAATGCTACCCTATTGTTTTCTTTGGTACCAATACTTGTCACATAGATTGCAGTATCTGTTTTCAATCCTATACTCTTGTTTATGTTATAAATTACATATGCACTGGATCGATCTCTTTTTATTGTGCAACAGTGCAGACTAAACTGAAAACCCTTGTTTTGGTTAGAAGGGGTTCTGGTTGTTGAACCAAATCTTGTTTGTTAGGCTCAAAGGGTTTCTGTTGTGGAATAATGCAAGGATCCCGCAAATATGGCTTTGGTTTTACGCCTCAAATTCCTTTGAGCCAAAACTTAAGGGTTCTGGTCTGCAAATTTTCTTAGTGTGTTATTAATAACACTTGTTATTTTAGCTGCATTGATAATGAAATTGAACATTGAAAATCTAATTTTTGTTTGTTGTGCGGCTTCCATTTACTTTCTTTTTGCTTTCACCTTTATTTCAGTCATAAAGGAAGGATTTCTGAAGCTCTACCAAAATCAAGGTACAGGTCAAGAAGTCGCAGTCCTCGGAGAAGGTTAGCCCTCCTTTTGGTCTTTCTTTTTGATGGATATTTTTCTGTCATATGATTTCAAGAATCCTGATCTCAATTTGCTAGATTGTGCCTAGATTTTGACAGATACTCCAGTTTCTTTCTTAAGCTTTTGATAGTATTCAAGTGAATGCCTGATACTTACTACTTAAAATCTCCCAGGTACCGAGATGACTACAGAGACCGTGATTACAGGAGGAGAAGTCGCAATAGGAGTTGGGATAGGTATGACCGTGACAGATACCATGGGAGGGACAGAGACTACCGTCGACGAAGCAGGAGCCGTAGTGCCAGTCCTGATTACTACAGGATCAGGGGAAGGGGGTGCTATGATGAAAGGCGGAGTCCGAGTCCATATAGGAGTCGGAGTCGGAGTCGTACTCGGAGTCCATATCGGTCTATTGATAGGTTTTAATTCAAGCTAATTATCCTTTTTTGTTATGTTTATAGTTGTATGCTAGTTCCTCCTTTTGGTTATCTTTAATGTATACTAATCTGCACTGCAGTGCCTCCCCTGCTCGGCGTAGCCCTAGTCCACGTAAGAGCCCTTCCCCACTAAGCAGGAGCCGCAGTGCCAGCTCTGATAGACGTAGTCTTGATGGACAATCCCCAACCTCTCGAAGTGTTTCACCACGCCATCGTCCTGCTGATTCTTGAAGCCCATCCCCCCGAAATTTAGATTTTGATGTGAGTTGATGTCTACAGTTTTGATTGCTTCTGGAATGATTACTTTCTCTTGCATGGGCAGAAGAGTATTGGTTTGGTAACTTTTGACTGTATTTTACAGGATTGATATTGTTGTATGGAAACTATCATGGAAGCACCCTGAGTTGTGTACTTTTTGCAGCTCTGCTGATATCGGGGATCCTTGATCATCATGCTTGTTTCTTTTGGATCTTTTACGTGCTAGTTCTGGTAGGACGGGTTTTCTTTAGTACTCTAACATATAAATGCTGCACCTTGTGCATTTCTTTATTTAGCTGGGATCATCTGGCAACTTGTGGACATTATAGTTTGTAGATTGGTAATATTTAATTTACAGAGGATATTCTTTTGTAATTTTCGTATTGTATTTTCTTTCATTTTTGTTTCGGTGTGAACTATGGTCTGTGGTCTTAAGTTGTCTAGTTCTGTTTATAGGAAGACTGATTCATCATGAACTATTTCTTGGATTTTATAGTTCTGTTCGTGAAAAGAGTGATTGAGGCCAAGATAAGAGGATGTTGATTCGCAGCCGTTGATGCTGTTTCTAGTTTGTAGATGGATGGTCGTGGTTGTGATGGTGGTCTTAAAGTATGATTGTTTTTCGCAGTGAGCTGGTTGCAGGGCCAGTAGCTTAAGCTGATTTTCTCCATACGTGATATATGTTGGTAAGAAATATGGCTTGGCTATTTGTTTCTGAAGTGTTATGTAATTAGGATTTCTATGTTTGACCTAATAGTCGGTTAAAGGGGTTTTAGCTGCTGTGGCGGTCGTAACTGGGTCTTTACCTGTAGCTGATGCTGCATGTGATTTGGACGGACATGTTGTTCCTTATGAACCTGAATGGGTTTGTAGTTGCTGTGATGGTAGAAATTGAACTGGTGTTTCCCTGCTGCCTGATAATGCACATGAGTTGGACCTGTGATTTAGTAACCAGGCTGCGGATACCCATTATGAACTGTGGATACTAACTCTGAAACCTTGTATGTTGGGCCCCACTTTGCAGTCACAGTAATGAGACACGGTAAACAAGTTTGTGGTTAATTTCTTTAGGCTATGTTTGGATGAGGGATTTTCAAGTCCTAAGGGATTGATGCCAAGTTAGTAAGGGATGGATTACAAATTATTAGGTAATAAAAGGGATTAGAATGGCACACATGAGCATTACGAAGGCATGTAAAAGAGTTTTATAAATGATTCCTTCCTAGTAGGGATTTGCAAACCCCTCTCACATGCCTTTTTAATGTTCATGTGGTGCATTTCTAATCCCTTTTATCGAGCATTTTGTAATCCTTTCCTTATTAACTTGACCTCAATCCCTTTGGGCTTGGGAAATTTCTCAATCCCGTAGGGTACTTTAGACTACTATATCTAGTCCCAACCTGTTTTCAATTGTATAACCTATGCTGCTGGATTTATATAGATCTTGTATCACATGTTGGTGGCTCTAGCTGTGAAATGGTAGCTGTATTATGTTGTATCAGAATCTTGTGTGGGTTCGTGAACAACTGAAGTTGTAGCGAATAACCACCTGCTGCGCTGTTGCTGCCATTTTATGATGGGGTCCGGTAGGCTATGACCAGTTGGGGCCCTGAGAATGGCCGCTTGGCTATCTATCTGGCATGTCCTGATTGCCGAAAGATTTACTTTGTTTTCTGTTATGCCTGATTGATAAATGGCTGTGCATAGTTGCTGGTCCTAGTTCCAGAAGCTCGTTTCTTAATCAGTCTTTTAACATTTACGACATAATAATTGCATTTAACGATTATGGGGTTGATCTGGGGAAGATCACTTGGTCTTCTTACATATAATGTTCTTTTGCCAATCTTATGCGCCTATTGTTCCACGTATATTGTAGGTTGCTGCGAATCTTTCGTAAGACTGGTATCAGATATCCTGTTGTGCTTTTGACAGTGAGAACATGTAAGGCCCTTGTTTTTGCTTACGTTGTAGACTCTTATATTTTCATGCTGTATTCTTGTGTTGTGTTCTAGTATTGATGAGTGAGAACTTTAGAATGTAGGGGAATGCTGCATCGCTAAATCATTGTTTTAGTGATGGACCAGACATGTATTCTTGTGCTTGACTAGACGTTTTCAATTTCGAGTTCTGATTTTCTCGTTCACCGCTCATTTGAACCTTCCATGTACCCTCCGGTCCCTCCCTCCGTTTTCTTGTCCCATATTTTACCGAATTCACCTTCTTTGCAACGTCTGCGCGTACTTCTGTTGAAAAAAAAATGTGTTTGGGTCAGACAGACTCAAATCAAGTGAATATCCGTATGTTTTTTTTTTGTTGGAACTGTTGTTATTACTTCAAAAATCTCACTTTACATTTTGCACAAATGTATTTTCCTTTCTAATTATATAAAGTTCGAATTGTTGGAGTGTCAATAACAATTTTCTATTTTTTTTCCTGAATAAACGATATTATCTATATTATGGAAGAAGGCGGTGGTTTAAATTCGCCTTTAGCGAAAATCGGATGTAAGATTTTTTATTTTACAAGTAAAGAGGATTACCAAGAGATTGTAGTACAAAGTTGTGGAAGTTCACATTATTTCGTCCACGAGTTTCATCCGTTTTAAGAGCCCAGGAGATTGTTTTGATAGGCTATCAGGTATCCTTTAGAAAAGGCTCTGTTAACGCTCGAACTATTGTATGGACCAAAGGCGTATTCATTCGTACTCGTTCGGGATGGTACTGACCTGATATATACATGCGTTTGGTTGGAAAAGTTGAGGGATGAAAGTGAGTTTAACTGGGCGAGTTGAGTAGCTTAGAGAGGTCAACTAAGAGCCATACAGGTAAACACTGAAGATAATTTCCACATTCGCACAAAATTGTACTTGGAAACATAACATATATCATAAGCAGTCTCAAATGCGGCACATCAAAGTCGCTCAAAAATTTGTAAAACGAAACTACGGAAACATTTGAGTTGACCAAAGCAAACGGAAATTAAACCTAGTACCCTCCTTTAAGATCATTGACGACATCATAAGGAATGGGAGTAACGGTTTCCATGACGGCACCTTCCACCCTGAAACCAGGCTTGGGTCCCTTTGGCTGCCTCTTGGTGCTAATGACCTCACCCCTTGCCTTAGCCTCGGCCTTCAGCTGATCATTCTTTATCTTCCTCAAACGGAATTCTTCGGTGCACCTTGACGGCTGCACATGCTCCACACGCACATGGATCCTCTTCCTGATGATTCTGTTTCCGACCTGATATCATATAGAAGCATACTGTTTAAAATCTCTGGTGACCAAATCCAAAGTAAAGTATGCAACAATCACTAAAAAGCATGACAATGGCAGTACAGGACTCCAATACATACAGAACACGACCATAAATTTAAGACAATGATCAACATTGCAATACTCAAACCAGAACTCCGTATGGACCTACACGAACTATTAACCTACTCTCAATAAAAATTCATCCTAAATCCACGAGCTTATATCGTAGTTCACACATGAAAGGTGGTAACTAAAACCAATCACTAATTGAGCAAATATTTCAAACATTATAGAACACACACAATGACTTACATAAATAGATCTTATTTAAAGCGGCAGAGTGTTTGGTAAACATTTTTGAAAAAGTGCTTTTGAAAAAAAAAAAAAACAGTATTTTAGTGTCTGATAAACTTCTGTGTAAAACAGATGTGGAAAAAAGCTAAAACTAAATGTTTACCAAACATTAAAAAACTACCAGTTTTTATGATAGCCACTTTTTTCAGAATCACCTCAGTACCAAACTAAGGTTTAGTGGGATAAAGCTTTGTTGTCGTTGTTGTTGATGTGTGATACCCAACTTTACATACAGCATAAAATACAAATCAACAGTAGATTTAGTAGCATTAAACGAAGCCCTAAAACATCCCTGGAAACATATAAATCTAAGCTACAATTTCCATATAACAACAAAAACCCCGGCAACAACGCAGTTCTATTATACCCTGATTCCATTTAGATACCATCAAGTCCAAATCAGACCTAAAGTGAGGAAATTTCAACAAAAACCAACAAATCCAGACCAACATTTCCACACAAGCATATCATCTAACACCTTGCAGACAATCCAAACTCCAAATGAATACACACGAAAACAAAAATGGAAATTAACCTGCTTGTTGATCTCGACACCGATGGCGCGCTTGGTGACGTTCCAGACGCGTCCGGTACGGCCATGGTAGAACTTGTGGGGCATACCCTTGTGGACGGCGCCGTTAACCTTGACATCGACATGGTCGCCGATCCTGTAGGTCTTGAGGTAGGTGGAGAGCGGGATGTACCCCTTCTTCCTGAAGGCCCTCGAGAACAGATCACGAGTCCGGGAACGGAGACCGTGTCCAGCAGGCATTTTTCTGAGGGTTCTGTGACTCTAGGGTTTGGGGTTTCTTCTCTGAGAGTGGTTGCCTAAAGCCCTGCGACTCTGTTATCTTGCTTTTATAGTAGGTCTGGTGAGGCGGGTAGGGTTTTCAGGGTTTGTTGTTGAGATGTGGGCTGGGCTTATTGTGTCAACAAACATTGGATTTTATTATTGTTAAGATGGCCCATGTTTAATGGGCTACAATTTGGCCTGTTTTAATTTTACAAGGTTTTAATTCTAAACCCTGGCCCAAGATTTATTCAAATGATAAGAATGTGTTCCTATTAATGCATTGGAACGTTTATTTATTTGGAATCGAGAAATCTTGAATCAAAATGACAACTTTTATGTATGAATTAAATAATCCTTGGTTGCCGACAAAAAAAAAAGAGGAGTTTTAACGAAACATTCCCGGAACCGTTCACTTTTAACGAAAAACAACATTTTTACCTTTCCTGGTACTATTTACTTTTCATTAGATTTTTTTTTTCTTTCATTCATTTAGCTCGTAATGAATAACTGACTACGTTCAAGGTATATCGAAGATAGAGGCGAATCATGTTTCATGTTGAGGGAATTAGATAGGAAGGAACTTATCCCTTCTAAACCTGTCATACTGGAATGAGGACAGTCGGGAGGGAGAATTGGCAAATAGTTTTCTTAATGAGAATTCAATTTCTACCCTTTAGTTGGACATAATTTTTGTTCAACTTGGTTATCCTTTTGAGTTCAATTCTATCTACCAAAAAACATAAGTGTGTAGTACAAGGAGTTTTTTTTGGTTGTCGTGTGATATAAGAGTTTAACCTTAACAAAACCTTGAAAAATTAAACTTACTATGGATTGTTAACTCATTTTATAATACTTAAGTGACTCGTTACCCTACACTTGTGGAGGTCAATATATATAGATGAATATGCATAGTTTATTTTTCTCGGGAATCTTCTTGTTTAAACACAACTATTGGAGTGTAAAAGATCGTTTGGAATTTGTTTCTCTAAAACTATTTATGTTCATAAGTGCTTACAGCTTTCTATAAGCAATCCTAAACAAGCTTTACGTGTAAACACAAAATAGTCATTTACATAAATATTGGGTAAGAGGACAAACCCAACAAGATCGTCTTGGGCTTACACGAGAGGGTACGAATCAAATTCTTGTTTCTTTATTTTATTTAGAGTTGGACTTGCCATAATAATATGATTCAATTTCGCATTTGGTGAGAATTGAACTAACATTTCACTTACAAGTAAAGATGAATACCACGAGACCTTACTACTATTCTTGGTAATCAAGGAATGATGAGTTCGTGAATCGCCTTGTGACATGAGAAATGTTTTAGCCTTAATGGGCGAGTGTTTGCTGGTTGTAGGATGATTCTCAACTCTCTCCATTACATAACATGTGAATGTTACTATTTAAACTAGAATATTGCTATTCACACACTTGTTTTTCCTTTTCATACATTTTGTTAAATTTTTGCCATTGATCTTCTTCAATTTATTGGATCCGATGACCGAAAATTGAGAAGGATGTGTGAGAAGTAAAATTAAATGTGTGGATAGCACTAACCTTAAATTATTACGAATAGAATTTTACTTTCAACGTAGGCCAACTCTCAACAAATCTCACATGCAATAATAGTAAAAAAAAAAAACACTCGTGTAAATAATTGACCATAATAATACCACAAAAGATATGATAGCGCTGTACACCAACCAAACCAACAGATCCTAACTATAATGGTCGGTTTGGTTTGATTTTAACAAAAAACAAATGTCAAACAATTTAAAAATTGAACCGAACCGATTATTTTTTGGTTTTGATACTTTTGAAACTGACTAAAACAAAACCGAATTGACCATGTATCTTTTAATTATTAATTAATTTATTTTACACATGTCAACGTATTATAGGTTACTAGAGACCTTAGCATACACATATCAAAATCTTCAACATATTATAAGTTCTAATAGCTTTTTTTTATTTATTTTTATTTTTATTTTTTAAAGAATAAGAAGTTGTGATGACTATTAACAATTAAGAGATTTATACGTGTTTTATGCTTATGTGAGGTTCTAATTAATAAAGACTTTCAGCTAAAGCCAAATTGGCATAACTCTTCATTTTGGTCCTTAAGATTTGAAATCGATAGAAGTAGTCTCTGAGTTTGTCCACCATCAATCATTTTGGTTTTTCTATGAAAAATGTCCATTAAATAAGGATAAAATTACAAAAATATGCTCAACTTTTTGTCAAATCATTTTGGCCTATTTTTTATTGGGAACTTTAATGAAAAGCTCCCGATACTGTTCACTTTAACGAAAAACCACATTTTAACACTAAAAAATCAATTCTGGTACTATTCACTTTACCCTTTATTTTGTCCTTATCATTAAAACTCAAAGTTTTCAAACCATTTTCATTAGTTTTCTTTTTTTTTTATATTAAATTGATGGTATTTTTGTCATTTTGATCCTTATTTAACAGAACTTTTGTCATTTTGATCCTTATTTTTTCACGGCCCACTTTTATCGATTTCAAATCTCATGGACAAAAGTGAGGAGTTATGCCAATCTCAAGGACTATTTTGGCTAAAAAGCCATTAATAAATCATAAGCTAGCATGAGATGTTTATTTAGAAAAGTGTTATTCACATACCCAATTTTACCTCTCACACATCTTTATTAATTTTTGGTCATTGATCTTCTTCAATTATTTCGATCTGACGGTTAAAAATTGAGAGAGGGTATGAGAAGTAAAATGCTTGTGTAGGTATCACTACCCTTTATTTAATTGAAACTTAGTTCTATTTGACTTGATGAACTTTTTATGTTTCGAAAATTATAATCTTTCAATCGAATTGGATGCGTGAGATGTGTGGATGTTTAGAACATTAAAACTCTTGAAATGTTGAACTTTTTTATTTATGTGTTGAATGGATTTAAAATGACCGAACCAAACAGAATCAAACCGATTAACAATATTTTGGTTTGGTTTTAATGGCGGTATCTATCAAAACCGAACCATTGGGTACTAATTAGTTTATTTTTAGGTGTCAAAACGAATCAAATCGATCCGTGACCACCCCTACATGAAACAATATAGCATACTGCTCCTTTTGCAGACCGTGTTAAAGACTCTTCTTTTCTCTTTGGTCAAGATTCTTGTGGATGATTACAAATGCAGACAATAAGGACCATTAGGGACCATCCCATGCCCCTATATTTTTTTCTTTCAGTCACAAAGTTGCATTACTCCAATAGACTTTGGCACTTTTTGGCCGTCTTTGCACCACACTCTACGTTATACCTTTTCTTTTCCAGAAGACTGTGGGTTTTAGTTGTCTTTAGATAGCAGCCAAGTCTTCCTTTAACTTTGCACTCAACAATACGGCAACCGTTTGACCTCCATGGACTCAACAATACGGCAACCACTAATTTCTGCATTCTTTGTAAGTGTGTGGATGATAGGGTTTTTCTTTCAACACCTTTTGCTTGTTTCTTTATATTCGAAGTTAATGCAGTGGAGCCTCCTCCTACCAAGCCTTGAAAAGAACAACAAATACTGGGCTCCTTCGTCGAAGACTTATGGTTGCTTTTGGTAGAAGAATTTTGAGTTTGACGAGTATGCTGACACATTGTTATTCTTCATGTGTTATACAATATTGTTGATATTTTATTAACCTATATTATAGTATTAATAAATATAAACATATATTATAACACCATAAATTAATAATATCACGTATAGTTTGACGATCAGAGCAAAATATTCTTATTCTCAACCTACGTGCTAGGTCAATACGACATAAAATATGTCTTGTCAAAATAACTACATCCAAAATAGTCCAATATCTCCTACATTTGGATTAAGATTTTATAATCTTAGATAAAAAATAACTTTTTAAAAACTTAAAATACACTATAAAATCCATCAAAATCTATTGCTTTTAAAGTTCTGTAAAATCAAATCCCAATTAAACACGCTCCCTAGTACTTTTCTCATCTGTCACAACTTGTTATGCCAACTTTTACAATTATTCAAATCCATTTCGTTTTCTATATATTAAGGTTGCCCAAAACAAAACTACTTATCCTAAAAACCTTTTCATACTTCTCTCTCCTTTAAAAAGCTCTATACCATCCTCAACTCTCTACAATGGCCAAGACCCTCCAAAACCTCAGTTCTACCTACACCATTCTCATAACCATTTCCTTCTTCTTCTTCTCAACCCTTGTCACTTCAGAGACTCACCATTTCTCAAGACCCTTATCTCCATCAAAACATGGTCTAAAGAGAGAGAAACTGAGCCATCTGCACTTCTACTTCCATGACATAGTAGGTGGCAGAACCCCCACGGCAATTAAAGTGGCTGAGGCACTCACGACAAACACTTCCATGACTGGCTTTGGCACCGTGGTCATGATTGACGATCCATTGACTATCAGCCCTGAATCGAGCTCTAAGCTAGTCGGAAAAGCCCAAGGTATTTATGCTTCAGCTTCACAAAGTGAGGTGGGCTTTTTGATGGCTTTGAACTTTGTTTTTGTTGAAGGGAAGTTTAATGGTAGCACTCTCAGTGTGTTGGGGCGCAATGCCGTGTTCTCAGCTGTGAGGGAGATGCCGATAGTAGGAGGAAGCGGGCTTTTCCGATTTGCTCGTGGCTATGTGCTTGCTAGCACTCATCAGTTCGACATAAAAAGTGGAGATGCTGTTGTGGAGTATAATGTTTATGTCTTCCATCATTAAGTGGTATAAGTGTTGTTTGTTTTCCTAGCTTTTTTGTGGCTTTTACATATGAATTTTGAATCAGTCTTGTGGCTCAATTAATTTTCCAATCCCCTGCTGATTCTTTTTGAAGATTGTAACCCTTTGTTATTGTTTTACAATAAATATCGTTACTTCTTAAAATAAACAGAATATATACTTTTTCTTTTCATCCCATAAATCATTCACATTTGAGTCCTATGTAAAGAAGATTCATAATCTAGCTATCACATTGCTATAATTTGTAAT